CACAAGTGGTCCCCGTGGTAATAGGAACATTGGGGGCTGTGACCCCCAAACTGGGAGAGTGGCTCCAACAGATCCCAGGAACAACATCTGAGATCTCTGTCCAGAAGAGTGCAGTCCTAGGAACAGCTAAGATACTGCGCAGGACCCTCAAGCTCCCAGGCTTCTGGTAGAGGACCCGAGCTTGAAGGAAGGAATACAAGACCACCCCAAAGTGGGGGCGAATGGGGAAATTTTTTTATATATATATAGTATATACAGATCTGAAAGTTAAAATGCTGTGAGTCTGACCTCTGTCCTAAATAATCCTGCTACTGTGTGTTAGCCCTTTCATGTTCTTATCAGAGAAAAGCAGCGGAAGATGGACTGACAGGATAGAAACGCCCATTGGGATGCTAATTGGAATGGGAGTAGAACAAAGCTGAGGCTGTGGGTGGATCTCTCTCCATACGCTGAGCAATCTAAAGTATGTAATTCATTGTACTGAAAATCTGTATCTGCATAAATCTGGTTGAATTATTCAGACTAATTAAAATGCATTAAAAGAACACTATGCTTATTGAGTAGTTCTGAAAATGCAGTCAAGGATGTCTTCATTGGGAGAACTTATTAAGCACTGCCAGTCCTGCTGCAGCTTGATGACCAGCACTGCCCCTCATCTGCAGTGCACAAGTGCTAACGTGAAAACTGTCAAGAAGACAGACTTGACACCTCTCAGGAGGATTAATGTTAACACTTCATTTATCTCCACAGAGTCTACACTGCACGCTTTTGCTCGACTTTTCTACTCTGTCAATGAGGCACAACTTGCACATGGATTTGATGTCTGCCATCAACACCGTGGACATGCAGGTGCCAGCTCTTGGGCCTCCATGGCATACAGAACACTATCTATAGAGCTTACAGCCTGCAGACATTATGACTGGAGCCTAACTGCACTGAGGTTCCCATCTCTGGCTTTTTAAACTTCACCAGAATGGAGAGCAAACAGATGCTCTTCTATAGAATCCACTCAGTGGACAATATGCTTGCAATGAGCTGGAGCCAACTCTAGGCCAAACCCTGTTTTGCATCCAGGCTGAAGGCAATAAAGGAGAGCTTTTCTGGTATGCAGATGGGGAGAGCCACACAGGCACATGAGGGTTTTATAGCTTCAGTCCCATAACTAGCCCCTCAGTTTCTGACAAAGCAATGTGAGGCTTGGTGGAGCAGCTGTGTTCTGGGCTGCACTCTCCAGTATCACTGTGTCACCAATGGCCCCACAAGAGGAGGTGGACACCTTCTCCCAGGAGATCTAGAAACCACTACTGACACATGATATTAATGAATACTACCCACTGAGCACATTAATCATATAAAGAGTATGATGCATGCATATCTTAATGAATGATTGTTGGAGAGTGGATTATGCACAGTTTCAAAGTCAGTGGACAGAGCAGGTTGAGCCACTGTGGCAAAAAGAACATTTGTGCAATACAAGAAGAGCAGGCAATTTTGCTCTTTCATTTCTGACTTATTCTCAGTGCATACTGTCTATAGTAGTAGGTCGGATCTGAATCAGAACCACAATTTCTGAGGATATGGTTCTCTGCCAGAAAATGCTGGATTGCTAGCTTCAGGCTAGAAGGGCAGTCCTGCCCAGAGTGAAGGAGTTTAATTATCTTGGAGTTTTGTTGACAAGTGAGGGCCAAATGGAACGTGAGCTTGAAAAAGGGATTGGTGCAGAGTTAGCAGTAATACAGGCGTGCACCGGAGTGCTGTGGTGAAGAGGGAACTGAGCCGGAAGGTAAAGCTTTCACGTTACCGATCAATCTACAGGTGCAGCTCAATAAATTAGAATATCGTGGAAAAGTCCATTTATTTCAGTAATTCAACTCAAATAGTGAAACTCGTGTTTTATATACATTCAGTACACACAGAATTAAGTAGTTTAAGCTGTTGGGTCTTTTAATTGTGATGATTTTGCTCACATTTAACAAAAACTAACCAATTCACTATCTCAATAAATTTGAATACCTTATAAGACCTATAAAAAAACATTTTTAGTGAATTGTTGGCCTTCTGGAAAGTATGTTCTTTTACTGTATATGTACTCAATACTTGGCAGGGGCTCCCTTTGCTTTGATTACTGCCTCAATTTGGCGTGGCATGGAGGTGATCAGTCTGTGGCACTGCTGAGGTGGTATGGAAGACCAGGTTTCTTTGACAGTGGCCTTCAGCTCATCTGCATTATTTTGTTTCTCATTTCTCATTTTCCTCTTGACAATACCCCATAAATTCTCTGTGGGGTTCAGGTCTGGTGAGTTTGCTGGCCAGTCAAGCACACCAACACCATGGTCATTTAACCAACTTTTGGTGTTTTTGGTAGTGTGGGCAGGTGCCAAATCCTGCTGGAAAATGAAATCAGCATCTCCAAAAAGCTGGTCAGCAGAAGAAAGCATGAAGTGCTCTAAAATTTCTTGGTGAATGGGTGCAGTGACTTTGGTTTTCAAAAAATACAGTGGACCAACCAACACCAGCAGATGACATTGCACCCCAAATCATCACAGACTGTGGAAGCTTAACACTGGACTTCAAGCAACTTGGGCTATGAGCTTCTCTACCCTTCCTCCAGACTCTAGGACCTTGGTTTCCAAATTAAATACAAAACTTGCTCTCATCTGAAAAGAGGACTTTGGACCACTGGGCAACAGTCCAGTTCTTCTTCTCCTTAGTCCACCTAAGACACCTCTGACATTGTCTGTGGTTCAGGAGTGGCTTGACAAGAGGAATACAACAACTGTAGCCAAATTCCTTGACACGGCGGTGTGTGGTGGCCCTTGATGCCTTGACCCCAGCCTCAGTCCATTCCTTGTGAAGTTCACCCACATTCTTGAATCGATTTTGTTTGAGAAGCCTCTCAAGGCTGCGGTTCTCTCGGTTGGTTGTGCATCTTTTTCCTACCACTCAACCTTCTGTTAACATGCTTGAATACAGCACTCTGTGAACAGCCAGCTTCTTTGGCAATCATCATATTCTAATTTATTGAGATAGTGAATTGGTGGGTTTTTGTTAAATGTGAGCAAAATCATCACAATTAAAAGACCCAAAGGCTTAAACTACTTCAGTCTGTGTGTACTGAATTTATATAATACACGAGTTTCACTATTTGAGTTGAATTACTGAAATAAATGGACTTTTCCACAATATTCTAATTTATTGAGCTGCACCTGTATGTCCAATCCTCACCTATGGTCAGGAGCTTTGGGTAGCGACCGAAAGAATGAGATCACAAATACAAGTAGCTGAAATGAGTTCCTGCTGTTGGGTGGTTGGACTTAGCTTTAGAGATAGTTTGGACATAGGGCGGGACCTACAAGTAGAGCTGCTGCTCCTTTGTATCGGAAGGAGCCAGTTGAAGTGGTTTGGACATCAAACTAGACTGCCTCCTACACACCTTCCATTGGAGGTTTTCCAGGCACATCCAACTGGTATGAGGCCCCAGGGTAGACCCAGAACACGCCAGAGAGATTATATATATAT